TCCCTGCTGTCAAGGAGGATGGACTAGTAGAAAAGATAGACTTGTACATTAAAATAAAAGTAGTATAATAAGAACCCTAACATATGGGGACCAGCAGATGGCAAAATGGTTATGTCACTGGACTCTCACCTAGTCAACCGTGGTTCAAGTCCTGGACCTGGTGGCTTAAAACACACTAGGTGCATAGGCATGCATGCCCAAAATCCTGGGAGGAGAGTGGAGAAGGGACTGCAGCGTGGCCACCCCTCCTGGGGGCGGAGAGGATTTCTCTCTTTCTCACTTTTTCCAGCAAGCACATTGCCCTATAGCAAAAATCTCTTTCTTAAAAAAAGAATCCTAACAGAATAACTTACACACATGTAACCTAAATTTCAAAACAATATACATACAGTTGAAACTCCAGAGTACAGAAATCTTTTAATTGAGTATTTTGCCTTGTAGTTTCAGAAAGGTTATTTTGCTGCTTAACTTCTCTCTCTGAATCAATTTTACTTTTCTAATCTTGTCCCCAGAGTTTGTACTGACTGAATGGTAGGTCACTAAGTCTAGCAGAGATGACAGAATATATTAAGTTGTCAGAAAAGTCATGACACATTTTTGCATAGAAAAATACATAATGATTTTTCCAACAACCTAATAAAATAAAAAGGCACTATAGGGCATTTTAAATGATAAAAAATGATCTTCTGATAGGATAAAAAAGGTTGCTTTTTATTTCATCATAACTACTCACACATGAACAGCAGTCTTACACAGGATACACCTGTAAACATCCAGACAGAGTGCCTTACTGACACCACTGCAAGGTCTCCAAGGGGAGCTCCCCCAATGCTTCTTGTTGTGCTGTTACACTGTTTGATCACCTTCTCAGGCAACAGATTCTTCCTAATATAAAACTAAAGTCCTCAAAGTGTGCTTTAAACCTAACGCTTGTTGAATCCTCTTAGAAAATAGAGACTATGATGGTAAAACTTTAAGCCATCATTACCATTCAGTTAGAGAAAGACGCTC